TTAACATATTCATTAAGAAGATTTTCTTCTACATATTTATTTAATATTAATGAACAATTTAATTCACCTATTTTAGCAATTTTTTTTTAGAAAAAAAAAACATTTTATTTTTAAATAAATAAAAAAAAACCTTGTTTTTGAACAAATTGATAAACTTGTTGTGCAAGTTGATCAAGTAAATGCTCAGGTAATATTCGACAATTAACTTCAGTAAAAAATCCATTTGCAAATGCTTGAGCTAAAAATGGAATTGCTTTTTGAGCTTGTTCATATTTAAAATGATTATTATCAATAGAAATTCTCTCATCACCACCACCACCACCACTACGACCATCAATTGATAACAATTTTAATTTATTTATTCGTGATTGTGAACTTTTTTTAGATTTTTCTCGTCGTTTATTTATTTTATTTTGTGTTGAAGATGTTACTGATATTGTATCTCGCATACTTTTTTTTTTATTTTTAAATCATAAATCAACAACAATCAATACAAATTAATTATATATTTATTCAAATACGCGCTTCATTTTACATCAATATTTATTTCTTTTTTTCTTTCTTTATCAAATTCTATTAGAATTTTTTCAAGATATTTTCATATTTGAAATATTTATTTATATATTCGATAGAATTTATCGTTAAATTGAAAATAATTAAGATTAAAACTTAATAATAGAAAATATTCTATTTATTTTATATTCGATGAAGAGAGAAGATGCTCACATCAGATATGTCTCTGGTGGGACTTTATTTGAAAAATCGTCGCAGCACGAAACGTATTTCGCGAATAGGAGCGGGCCAACGGCGGCGTTGACCCTTGCCTCTTCTAGAACCGCAGTGCGGCAGCTGCAAATTTCTATTATCGATGAACATATCTGACTCAGATATAGAATTTAATATAATATTTTCATCAAATATTGAAAAATAAAAAGATATATATTACCTCAATAAATATAAATAGAACTTAGAAATATCCGAAATAAAAATAAATAAAAAGTGAGAGACAATAGATAAATATGGTTTTGCAGGTTCTATTATCAGAATAACGTATACATATATATGTTAATTCGTATAAGTTGAACAATCTATTATTGATCTTTATTACAAATCTCTAAAACTCCTATGTTAACTTGTTGATAGACTCCTAAAAGTATTCCAGATTGAATAAGAACGATCATAAACGACCGTAAATTATCGTCTATTGCCATATTGCATCGATCAGTATTCCGATCGATTTAGTTCAGCTTCGCCAACAATGAAGTTCGCCGATTCTATTATCGTCGAATGAATTTATCACCGAAAACAAATATAAGTTGCAGTTAATCGGTCTTATAGACAACGATTATATTTTAATTAATTAGTCCATAATACCAAGTCAGATGGTTATCATACCGATGAAATCTGTTCATTGGTTAATTAGATGCCACTAGAAGAAACTTCAGATGTCTTAATTTGTATGAAAAAGACTTGTGGCGTCGATATAGCCTTTATGCTTTGGTGAAGATTAATAGTTAAGACTTCGTCATACCAGTGAAAGAAAACAAGGAATAGTAAACAAAGATGTTGTGCATAAAAACTTTATATAGTAGTTTGGTTTAACATTATTCATTTTTGGAAGGTAAGTGATTTGGTAGCCATCTGACTTGGTAACCATCTGACTCGGTATCATGAGCTAATTAATTAAAATATAATCGTTGTCTATAAGACCGACTAACTGTAACTTATATTCGTTTTCGGTGATAAATTCATTGGGCGATAATAGCATCGGCGAACTTCATTTTCGGCGAACTCTATTTTCGGCGAAACTGGAATTTACCTTCCGATCGTATTTGTCCATATGTCATACGGAGAAATGCAATTGTCTATGGATGTAAACGTAGACTCCCGCGGAATTTGTATGCAAAGAGCATCTATAACTTTGGTTTTAGTCAGTAGGTTCCTATGAAAGGTCAGTTTTCTCTGTTTATAATACGAAAAAATCTAGTCGTTTGACAATCTATAGAGATTTGATATTTGTTGATCGTGGAATATAACTTGTCCATTAATTTAAATTCTAATGGCATATATGTAAAACCTGAAAGTTGAATTAAATTATTGAAAAGCTATTTCAACTATTGAATTATTCAATTATTAAAAAACACTCACTATCATCGCTACTGTGGCTGCCGCGAAAGGACTGGCTGATAGAAGGAATAATCAATAATAGAATAGTTTAAATAGATTTTCAATAATTGAATTCAACTTCTCAGGTTTGACACAACTGACCAAATGATGACAATTTTTATTTCTTAGCTGATCATCGTCAAGTTTTTTTTTTAGATATTTGGTATCGTTTATTTATTTTATGTTGAAGATATAACTGATATTGCATATAACATATTTTATTTTAAATCCTAAATCTAACCAACTGATGTCACACGTTTATTTTCAGTACCGTCTCTATACTGTGCTACTCGTAAGAATCGATGGAAGCGTTTATGACTTTTGCTTCCAGCTATAGACGATTGCTCAGACTGTTTTTTATCCAAATTCGAATTTATTATTATAAAAAACTCGAATTTATCGGAAAAAACTAGTTTGAGAAAAAATATTACTAATAAAAATGTTGTAGGACTGCATCTATAATAAAAAATCTATACGAGGGGAGTGGAATCAATTGATTTTGGCTTTTTAGCTAATGCAGTCGAATGAGACACTTCAATGATAATTCAACATAGTCACAATGGATTATGACTTTCAGCAAGTCATTTCAATGAAAGACAGAATGAAACAGATTTTAACCGAAGCTATTTATTGATAAAACATTTTTATTTTAATAAAATCTTCAAGAAAATTCTTTTTTTTTGACAAATCTTTCGTGTTTATGGATTTATTCATTGAATTTAGTATTTTATGAAAAAATAAATTTTAATAGAACACTAATCGACGATCTTGCCCTATTCTTTCCAGGTTCTTGTTTTTCTTGGTTTTCAGACAAGGTTCTTTTTCCATTTCTTCTATACAAGATTCTTGCCTGAAAAAACTGATCTTGTCTTTCTGACAAGATTCGTGTAGACCGAATCTTGGCTGGTGAGGCAAGAAGTTCTTCTCCAGACAAGATTATTGTATTCTTGCGTTCTTGCCTGATTCTTGAATTCTTGTCTGATTCTTATTTTTCTTGATGTTCTTGCCTGATTCTTTTTTTCTTAGATTCTTGTCTGTTTCTTATTTCTTGTGTTTCTTGCCTGATTCTGGTCACATTAAAAAAGCCTTTTGCAGGTCATTATTACTCTCTTTTTCATATCATTTTATTATAAGTTTTGCACACAATGTACAAGAAAATGTAAAAGAAAACAAAAAAAATACTTTTAATTTCACATGTTATTAGAGCAGTCTCAGTTTTTAACACAAAAAAAAAAAAAAAATTTCATTATCAAAAAAAAAAAAACTTATCTTTTCAAACTTCATCATCGTCGTGTGTTGAGCTAGCTCGATTAAAGTAAGTTATTTATAATTTGTTCAACTAGTAAACGATGTAGAGATAATTGAGTATGATGATGTTGATCTTTTTTCTTAACACGCCATCGACGTTGTTTATCTGTATGTGGTGATGACTCTAAAAAAGATAGTATGGGAGCCAAAAAGATATAAAGTGCATATAGATATTACCTATATTACCAAGAGCATTATAAAACAATAATTTTTTGAACGAATCGAGATTTCCTTCGTCCATTAAAAAAAAACACTTTTGTAGATAATGAAAGAAAATCTAAAAAAAAATAAAATAGAAAGATATGGATTGGTAAAATATCGAAATGTGTTCAATAAGTGTAAGTTTTCTGAAAACAATGGAAAAAAAAGATATTATATATTCCATTGTTTTCTCAATATTGAATAGAAACTTTTTCTATACATCCAATTGAAATAATGAGTTGCTAGATGTCGTTTGAATGAAATGAACGCTTTAGGAAAAGTACATATTCAAAGTGAATTGTACTACCTATCGAATCAATAATGAATAAATAACGTTCAGACATTGCCTTTATATATTTGATCATACAAAGACGACATCACGTGCCGTTAATCTTGGACAGCTGACAAGAATCTGTTTCTTTCCTATCATAAGAATCCTGTCTGAATACTAAGAAATTTAAAATATCTTATATTTCTTTCCAGTTTCTGTTTTTTCATAATTTTCAGACAAGATTCTTTTGATCTTGAACTTCAGACAAGATTCTTTTTAAAAGAATACAAAAAGATTCTTGTCTGAACGTTAACTATATCTTGAATATCTTATGATTCTTGCCTGATTCTTTTATTTCTGATTAATCAGACGAGATTCTTGGCATCTTGCAGTTCAGACAAGATTCTTTTTACTTTTCTGGCGAAAAGAATCTTGTCTGAATACAGGAATCTTGTCTGAAAGTAAAGAAAAACAAGAACCTGGAAAGAATAGGGCAAGATCGTCGATTAGTGAAGCATCGCTGTCGATACCATCGAATATTCCTATTGAATTATTTGAATCAACATATTGGACACTCTATCACTAATCGACGATCTTGCCCTATTCTTTCCAGGTTCTTGTTTTTCTTGGTTTTCAGACAAGATTCTTTTTCCATTCCTTCTATACAAGATTCTTGCCTGAAAAAACTGATCTTGCCTTTCTGACAAGATTCGTGTAGACCGAATCTTGGCTGGTGAGGCAAGAAGTTCTTCTCCAGACAAGATT